AACGTTAATACACAATAAATGTAAACAATAATTTCTTTTTCTTTTTGAGTAAATAAAATCTTTCATGTATAAAACAATTGTTTCAAATCTCATAAGGTAGAAGATTCACATTCGTAACTCATCAATCATAAAAAGTCAAATATAAGTATTAAACTCAAGAAATCATATAAAGGAGAATATATATTAATTCCAGTAAAGGTGGTAGTGCCTCCTAGTTAGGAATTAATATATCACTTTCAAATCATGTAATAAAATAGTATGACAAAGATGTACATTTTGGTCTTTTCTCAAGAACGTTCAAAATTACAAAAGAAGAGAAGATTACAGCTTTTTAAAATAATAACTTCTAAAATAAGCCTAGCTATGTCCGATGTCACATCCTATCAGAGCATGCCCAACTGAAGCCTTAAGCCTCATCACCAACATCCTCATGATGTTGTTCACCTGCAACATAATTTAAACATATACAAAAACAACAAGGGAGTGAGAAACATTTGTTAATCAAAAAATAAAATAAAATCATTTTTATCTTTCTAATTAATTATTATTAATTATAAAAAATTCTAGGGTGTTACACTACATATTAGGTATATATTCTTAGCAACTTTTGATACTTTTATTGTAAGTTTTAAAAAATATTTTCCCTTGTTTGAAGATGTAGGGCAGCCAACTAATTTTTTTAAGTTTCCTATATTTCTAATCATCATAACAAGCCAAAACTAGTTTAATAAGTTATCAAAATATGTCAACACACTTGTACCCACCATTTCATAATACACTCATTTTTCACATTAAAATGGGTAAATATTTCTGCATAATTTTGTAGTAAATTTCCATGTGTATAAACCACATTGTACAAACAACATAATCAATTTAAGAATTCTAACATCACACTACATTCATATACAAACTTGGTGCCTCATTTAAAGCATAAAAGTACATTAAATATCATCTCAAACATTCATATTTAGAGCCATAAAGAAGATAGAGATGTCATAACAAAATCAACGTGTAACATGTCTAGATTATGTGATACCCTCTACCCCAACGTTAATACACAATAAATGTATTTAAAATTAATTTTTTAATGGATCAAGGAGTTATAAAATAAGAAAAATTGCATAAAACTCATATTTGTATTGTAATTGATAAAATATTTTATTTTATGAAAAATATCCTCCCAGTAATAAAAAAAATCCTTTGAAGCCTTTATTTTGTGTTTAATTTTCTTCAAATATAAATAGAACATGATAATTTGATGTTATTTTTTTATCATAGAGATTTACCAAGAATTAAGAAAAGTTTAGATATACCAACTTTAATATTCGATTAGTAAAATCTTTAAAAATAACACTCATATTAAATCAGTCTCTAGAAACAATTGACACTTTAATTATTAAAAAGAATATTAGTCTCTTTGAATTGTTGAAAGATATTTTTTTTAACAATCTACTTATTTCTATTTAAAATTAATATTATGATACAATTTAAATTATTTATTATAAATTTAAAAGTTTAAATAATAATTTATATAATTTAAAATATTATTTTTATAATTTATAATAATAATATAATTTATAAAATTATAAATATTTATTTATTACATACTTATAAATTAAATTTTAA